TGTCTCCAGCAGGATGTTGACACCAGTCAAAGCAGGAATGGCTGTGGGTTATCAATACTGGACTTCAGTCCTCTACCCTGAGTGGGATTTGACCACCGTCAATCAATGCTGCCTGCTATTTCCACTGTTTGAGGAGGGAGCAAAGATTAAAAAATTAGAAGTAAACCTTTAAGAGGCGAAAATGAGAAACACTCTACATGCAATAGGCTATGCTAAATTAGTAGCTTGATTTTAATATGGAGGTTGATTTTTTTTGTTAATCCAAAATATTAAGGGATATGGAACAAAGGCTGGGCTGCAAAATAAAGTTATAGACAGCAACGATTTCGTTGAATGACAGAAAGTGGTTAAATAACCTACCCTTGTTCTCATGTCGATTGACCTCTCACATGTGCCCTGCCTGATATTTAGTTCCATTGCAGTATATGGAATTAAGCATTATGCACACAGTATTGTTAGAATATATGGTGCTGTCCAAAATGATTATCTACCCTCAGCATTTTAGACAAAGTATGGCAAAATTTAAACTTTGCTGTTCGCTTGCATATTTGCTACAATAGTGTTTTTGAAAGAATTCTATAGCTACAACACTCCAAGCTCTCAGCTGCAATCTTTTCCCCAAATAGTGAGTCTGCCTTGAGTAGAATGGCTGGGCGAAGGAGGAAAATCTCAGTATTGTTTTGACAAAGTGATAAAAGTGGCGGTGAGTGAGTCTGTTCCCTATCTGCTGCCTTAAGGAAATAACGCAGAGTTGGGAACTTCATTTGGGGTGCTAAGAGGGATAGGAAAACAGACTTTAAAAAAAAAAATTAACATGTTTTAGATGAGGTAGAGCAAAGATGTCAGAGCAGATGTACAGTCACAGAACGAAATCTGGTCAAAATTTGTGTTTAAAGCACTGCGTCATCCAGTAAGATACGTTATGTCAGCAGTATTTTTACATTGTTTTAGAGAAAAATTTAGAACGAGAATTCAAACAAAGCAAGTGTATAAAGTTACACTGGAGAAACTTTCAACCTGGACCATTTAGAGTAATTGCCTCAATACTGTTGCTAATGCGTGTGAGACCTGTGCTCAGTAAGGGGATTCTGCTATAACGCGATAATTGCGTTCGAGCTCAACATTGCATTATAGAAAATCGCACTATAGAAATAATGGGGCCTACGGGAAAAGCGGGGTTAGGGGCAGACTACCAAACAATATCACTCAAAATTGCTCAAAATTCTTCCTCACCACTCTCATATAAGTATTGGCGCCATGCCTGTCACTTGTGTGAGCCTTGACACTTATAATCAAATAAAATCTATTCACCTGCAACATAGTCTGCATCACAGCCTAGCCCATTGCTGATCTGACCTGACATTCCATCAGCACAGACTTCTGGATGGATTTTCAGATAAGTGAAGCAGAGGAAGCTGACCTTTCTGAGTAACATTATATTCAAATGTTGTAAAACAGCAGTTTGTAACACAGACAACTTTTGGTATAAATGATTTACATGAGCAAGTTCAAAAGTTCTTACATATTAAATATGTAACAAAACCTAGGCAAAACTACTACACACAAAGGTGCATGTTTTGACAGCACTCATTATTTTAAACTATACTTCATTTTTTTTTTTGCATTTAATGTGTTCAGTATAAACTAAGACTTTCACATATTTTCCTAATAAGACGGTTGTTCTCTGTGTGACATTATATTTGAGGTTCATGACATACAATCCGATCACCTTTTTCAAATGAGTTTAGTATGACCTACTCTGAACATTTACACCATCTGCAAGGATCGAAAGAAAGAAATTTTCCTTTGACAAAGCCCGTGATGCCAACGCTTACTGGATGTAATCCCATTATAGCCAACAAAAGTTCACGTTTTAGAATTAGCGCTCCCCCATTCGTCAGTCGTAGTACAGCCAATTCGCATTGCCAGAACATGCGTTACAGCAGAACCCACTGTAGCTCCATATTCCCAAAGAGTGGATCCCACACACTCCTGGTTGTGGACCAGATGTTTAACAGCTGGAATACTGCAAACTAGCTGGAAAGACAATCTCTTTTTTGACTGTCCTTCTGGCTGTTTATGGCCTCTCTAATTATAAGCCATTCCTGCACCAAAACTGAAGGCTGTCTAAAAAACATCACGACACGAAAATACAGGTCATTTAATGTCACAGTCTGAGATTCAGGTTGTAGAAGATTGGCATATTTCATTGCAGTGTCGAGCAGGAACGTTTGAGGAAAAGATACAATCCAGCACCAGTATGCAGGCACTGTGGCTGTCTCGCTGTGATTACACATCTCTTGTTTCATTGACTCCTCTTTTCTTCCCTTGTATCCCCCAAATGCTTGCCTACCTTTTGGTTTTAAGTTCCAAAGAAGGGTTCTCCCATCAAAATTAAACCTCAGCTGGTCTTCTGGCTCTACACATGCCATCTGAGTTGTTGGATATCTTTGACATTTTCTGTTTACCTGTTATACAAGTTAATGGCTGTATTGCTTTCTCTGTCTCGTGGATTGTCCTGACAATCAGTGTGTTTTTCTTCTTTGCTATTTTTAGATTAAAAGGCAGCTGTGAACAGAAACCAGTGTGCACAGGAGATTTGGAAAACTTTGTTAGGTCAGTGTGGAGAGAGAAGAAACTCCAGTCAATGAGGAAAGAATCATCAATTTAATGTTTTGAGATATGAACTCATGAAACATGTCTTTGCAGACGGTTGTTGGAGCATGAAATGCTTTGCCACAGGCAGTGGTTGAGGCAGAAACCATTGAATCTTTTAAAGAACAGATGGATTAGAAAATTGAAACAGAGGAGCAGACAGAGGTCAGAAGAGAACAAGGCAGTCGGATTAGGTTTGAATTACTTCTAGCAAAGAGCCAAATGTACTTGTTCTGCACGATGAATTTAAATATTTTCTTATAGTAACAGGAAACTCATTTGTAGCAACAATATAACCTCAATAGATTAATACTTTGGTGAATTTGACTTGCTTTTTAAGTTATCTTAGTGCTGCTAATCATTATCAAAGTATTTTCAGAGATTTACTCAGTAAAACCTTTAAATCCTTTGCCCATTCAGTATACTGTACCATGGAACTGACTAGAAGTTTTGCTGGCCTATACCTCCCAGTTATGGCCGGATGTAAGTTACCAGGTATATATGAACAGCGGTCACAATCTGTTTATTTACAAATTAGCAGATCAGTCTATGTCTCTCATTCATTGCCAGGCAGGGTTAAACAGTTAGATTCACAACCATAAATAGCATTCTGTTTATTAGATCTTTCTCCAATGTGTCAAATTGGTTTTTAATATAAAAGATATATTTATACATGTCCTGAGATTCCTGTTAAATTTTGTGTTCAGGGCAAACAGCATTTGGCTTGTAGCCATGTGGAAACCTGGATCAAGCAGCTAGTGCTGAATAAACCTCTTATTTAACACTGGACTAAGGTATCTAAGCAAGCAAGGCATTTCGCAAGTTGTCTTTGTATATCCCTCCAGGTCATTGAAGACTGATATCTTCATGTAGATGGGGAGGAAATACTGAGACATGAGGACACCTCTCCATGCTGGAAGGCATTCCCATGAAGCCAAGGGTGAGAATATCTCCAGGGTGTGAATACATATCGAGGCAGTGTAGCAGAGAGACAAGCAGCAGCTATTAGACTGCTCCATCTCCAACTGGTGAAGCCACAATTTGATGGGACATAACACGTAGCAATGCTGTGACAATAATGAATGCCCCTCCCCTGCTGTCTTACTTGTGATGGACTTTCAATACCTGCTGTCCAGTCCAAGCACATGCTTGCATGTTTTTCAATAAGTAACGATTGACTGTCCTTCCTAGGGGAGGAGGAGATTAATAGGGACAAAATGTGTCTAAGTTGATACTCCAGGTCAACGATTTGCACTAGAGTCAGGAATTGAATGTCAAGTGGATAACGTAGCATATCAAAGCACTGTTACCTGAACAGTTATCTTAGCCTCTGAGTAGTGTTTGGAATGGAACCAATGTCATTGGGAGCTAGCATTCTTCCCATTTCAACTGATCGAAAGTAAAGAAAGAACTTGTACTTGTGCAGCATCTTTTACACCTTCAGGGCAACTGAAAGTTCCTATCAGTCAATTGTTTATGTTTTTCATTACAACCAGTACAATCAGGAATTCTTGGTATTTGCCGATCAAACATTTTTCAGAAAGCAGATGAGAGAAAACTCTGCCAACTGATATCAGGCTGACAATAAATGGAGATGTCTGTAAGTAAATAAGAAATATAATTGGTCTGCACTCCGAGCTCACAATCAAAAGATTGTGGTTCAATTCCCACTTCACAAAAACTTGAGCTGAAAATCTAAGCTGTCACTTCAGTGCATTTCTGAGGGACTCTTAGAGGGATCCTGTTTCAGGTGAAATGTGAAAACAAGATCTCATCTGTTCCTGCAGGTTAGTGGTAAATACTCTAATGGCAATATTTTGAAGAAGAACACTGGACATCACAACTGTGTCATGGTCAAATATTATTCCTCTTCCACACTTAAAATCAAATTATCTGAAAATGTTTACCTTTGTGAGAGTTTTCTGTGGTAAAGTAAGCACATTCCTCCTTTCAAAAGTGACTACATTTCTAAAAAGCATCAAATTCATTGTAAGATGCTTCGGGGCATCCCGAAGATGGGAAAGACAAGATGTCCATGACAATCTGTCTGAATATTTGTATTGTAAGGATAGGCAATGTAATTTTACAACATCGGGTAACTAGCATCAATTCTGTTTGAGTTACTTTAACAGATTAAGGGAAAATCCAACCAGTTCAGTTCTACAATAGAGACATGAGCCCAGGAATGTCTGTCAGTCCTGTCAGGAAAATCTTTTCTTTCTTGGGTTGGACAATATTTGCAACCTTGCTTTTGTGACCCACAGCCTGGGAGCAGTTTTGTTTGAAAACAAATCATTCTCCGAACAAACAAATGCTTAACAATTTTTGTTTTCTGTTTATTTTAGAGATCCAAATGCACATATGTAACAGAAAGCGTTATGGCTACCTCCCAGTGCCCCTCAAGGCCCAGGAGTCCTTACAAGAGGATATTGAAACCTTTGTTCATGTTCTCATTGAAAGAATGAGTAAGTTTACTAACAAGGACAAAAGCAAACTCTGTCATGGTCATGAGATATTTTCAAACGAAATATTGTTTAAATCCTTCAAATACTGAGCAACATTGCAGACAAATGAATCACAAAAACACAAACAGGATGTCAAATCCTGACATTATTAGAGAAATAGTCAGAATGACATACTGTTTCATCAGCTACTTTTCTTCACTAAAAAGGAAATCGATGAAGAATTAATTTTAGTTCATGATTGCAAACTGGTTCATTAAATCAATGGTTCATTAAATTAAAAGTGCAGTTTATTTCTGTGTAGGTTCACTTGTGTTTGAAATCTTATTCAAAGTTCCCACCTTTACAATGACATGCATTTAGCACCTGTGATTCGTTTGAACCTAAAATCTGTTTGTTCATTTTTGGAAGTGTTAACACTGTTGAAGTGAATAAACTGACATCATGCAGTTCTTTTCAGTTATCATCATACTTTTGTGAGTTAATAGGGCAATAGAAAGACTGCCTGAGTCCTGTAAGAGTCCTGCACCCACAGCAGGACATTCTGAATCAGAGCTTGAGGTTTGTGTAGTCCTGCATGATCTGGGGACCTCAGCTTAAAGCCACAGTTAGGAAATGAGAATTACCATTCCAACACACAACATAGTGGAAGGGCATGCCTACTTTGTTTCTGTAATCTAGATTAATGGAATTCAAAAGCAGAAGGGCTGTGTTAAACGTACAGGAGCTTGTTGGACTACCCTGAAGGGAACTCTGCCACAGCTTTAGTCTTCATGTTATAAAAGGGATATGGCAGCAATGGAGAAAGTGCCAAAAAGATTTACACAGGGGATACCACAACTAATAGGTTATTCCTGGCAAGACTGAACAGGCTGGGGCTTTGTTCACTCTGTAATACAACACAATGTGGTGACCTGACAAACGTCTGTAAAGTTATGTAAGCATTTGAAAGGGTTGATGCAGAGAACATGTTTTAACATGTGAGGGAATCCAAAATTAAGGTTACAAACATTAAATAGTTATTATTCTATTAGAAAGTCAGGATCAAATCCTTTTTATATAATGAGTGGAATTACCACTAGAAGGGTCATTTGAAGCAACTGTCACAGAGGCAGATATGACAGGTAGCTACAGGCAGTTGCAAGGACTAGGAGGACATCCTGATCAGGTCAGATGAAGTAGACTGAGAGCAGATTTATGTGGAGCAGAAGATCCAGCAGAGATCCGTTGGACTAAATGTCCGTTTAATGTGCTGTAAACTTTATTTAATGCCTTGTATTCATTCAAACCCAAGCGTAGATTTGATTACCATTCAGCACCTCAAATATACTGCACCATTCAACCTGATCATGGCTGATTTGAATGTCAATACCTTTTAGTTGCCTTATCTTTGTACCCTTTGGTTCTCCGAACAACATTTTATTAATCTCCATCCTGAAGGCTTCAACTCCCCTCTTAATTTAATGCTTGAATCATTGGTATGTTAAACAATCTATCATTTTCAGAAGTATTTTTTTACATCATAAAGCTATCATTTGTGTTGAGGATCAGTTGTTAAATTTTGTTGCTCAGAACCTTTCCATATGAAGAATGTATTTTATTTTCTAAAAGTATATTAACCCTATAATGTCAGTGCTAAGTGGTCTGACTTCACATCAGTTATGCACTTAAATTACAAATCTGGTCTGACTGTGCAGTATATGATGATGGAAGCACCATAGTTTATGATAAGTGAAGCAGAACAATGAAGAGAGACTGGGAGCGGCAGATCAGGATTTGTGAAAACAACACCATCTTTTTTTCAACATTTTGTTTTTGAGATCATACAGCATTGTTGACTTTCCCAGGTACAATTTACAGTTATTGAAAAAATGTAAATGTTTTTGAACATTTGCTCAGAAAAACCTAAAAGCATTTTGCCTCTGTGCAACTGTGTGTAGTCTAACTGGCCTGGTTTAAAGTCATTTAGATACAAGGAACTTGGTCAAGGAAATTAATGTTGCATTGTGAGAATTAAAATTCCACATCCACCCTTTTGACATACAAATCATACCTTGGTCATAGAGATGTACAGCACAGAAACAGACCCTTCTGTCCAACTCATGCATGCCAATGAGATATCCTAAATTAATCTAGTCCCATTTGCCAGCATTTGGCCCATATCCCTCTAAACCCTTCCTATTCATATACCCATCCAGATGCCTTTTAAATGTTGTAACAGTACTAGCCTCCACCACTTTCTGTGGCAGCTCATTCCATACATGCACCACCCTCTGCATGAAAAAGTTGCCCCTTAGGTCCCTTTTGTATCTTTCCCCTCTCACCTTAAACCTATGCCCTCCAGCTTTGGACTTCCCCCACCCCGGTGAAAAGACATTGGCTTTTTACCATATCCATACCCCTAATGATTTTATAAACTTCTATAAGGTCACCCATCCAGCCTCTCACACTCTAGGGAAAACACCCCCAGCCTATTCAACCTCTCCCTATAGCTCAAAGCCTCCAACCCTGGTAACATCTTTGTAAATCCTTTCTGAACCCTTTCTCTTTTCACAACTTCGTTCCTATAGCAAGGAGACCAGAATTGTACTCAATACTCCAAAAGTGGCCAAACCAATGTCCTGTATAGCAGCAACATGACCTCCCAACTCCTATACTCAATGCACTGATCAATAAAGGCAAGCGTACCAAGCGCCTTCTTCACTCTCCTATCTACCTGCGACTCCTCTTTCAAGGAACTATGAACCTGCACTCCAAGGTAACTTTATTCAGCAACACTCCCCAGGACCTTACCATTAAGTGTATATGTTCTCTCCTGATTTGCCTTTCCAAAATGCAGCACCTCACGTTTATCCAAATTAAACTTCATCTACCACTCCTCAGCCTATTGGCCCATCTGATCAAGATCTCATTATACTCTGAGATAACCTTCTTCACTGTACATTATACCTCCAATTTTAGTGTCATCTAAAAATTTACTAACAATACCTCCTATGTTCTCATCCAAATCATTCATATGAATGACAAAAAGTAGTTGCCTTAGCACCAATCCTTGTGGCACACTGCTGGTTACTGGCCTCCAGTCTGAAAAGCAACCCTCCACCATCACCCTCTGTCTTCTACGCTTGAGCCAGTTCTGTATCCAAATAGCTGGTTCTCCCTGTATTCTGTGTGATTTAACCTTTCTAACCAATCTACCATATAGATCATAGTCCATATAGATCACATCTACTGCTCTGCCCTCATCAATCCTCTTTGTTACTTCTTCAAAAAACTCAATCAAGTTAGTGAGACATGATTTCCCACGCACAAAGCCATGTTGACTATCCCGATCAGTCCTTGCCTTTCCGAATACACGTAAATCCTGTCCCTCAGGATTCCCTCCAACAACTTGTCCACCACCGATTTCAGGCTCACCAGTCTACAGTTCCCTGGCTTTTCCTTACCAAACTATTTGCCAAAGGTATTTCATGTCCCCTTTTTGCCCTCCAGATTTCCCTCTTAATTATACTCCTACTGCCTTAATACTCTTCCAGGGATTCCCTCGACCTCTGCTATCCATACCTGACATGTGCTTCCTTCTTTTTCTTCACCAAAACCTGAATTTCTCTCTAGTTATCTAGCATTCCCTACACCGACCAGCCTTGCCCTTCACCCTAACAGGAACATACTGTCTCTGGACTCTCGTTATCTAATTTTTGAATGCTTCCCATTTTCCAGCTGTCCCTTTACATGTGAATATCCACCCCCCAAATCACTTTTGAAAGTTCTTGGCTGATACCTTCAAAATTGGTCTTTCTCGAATTTAGAACGTTAGGCCATAGATCCAGCCTATCCTTTTCCATCTCGACTTTAAAACTAATAGAATTATGGTCACTGGCCCCAAAGTGCTCCCCCACTGACATCTCAGTCACCTGCCCTGCCTTATTTCCCAAGAGCAGGCCAAGTTTTGCACCTTCTCTGGTCGGTACGTCCACATACTGAATCAGAAAATGTTCTTGTACGCAGTTAAATTCATCTCCATTCAAGCCCTTAACACTATGGCAGTCCCAGTCTAGGTTTGCAAACTTAAAATCCCCCGCCACTACCACCCTATTATTCACACAGATAACTGAGACCTCCTTACAAATTTGTTTCTCAATTTCCCGTTGACTATTGGGGGTCTACAGTACAATCCCAATAAAGTAATCATCCCTTTCTTATTTCTCAGTTCCACCCAAGTAACTTTCCTGGACGTATTCCCAGGTATATCCTCCCGAAGTACAGCAGTAATGTTATCCTTAATCAAAAATGCCAATCCTCATCCTCTCTTGCTCCCCTTTCTATGTTTTCGATAGCATCCATACTATGGAACATTAAGCTGCCAGTCTTGTCCATCCC